GGCCGCTCGCGACTGCCACCTACTGTCCTCGGGCGCACGCTCCTCCGCGCCTGGGGGGCGCTCGGGGTTCCGCTCCTCCGGGCCCGCAGCGGCACCTGTGCAGTTGCCCGGCGGTGGCTGGTGCTGAAATTCCGCCAAGAGGGGCTCGGCCATGGCTAGACGAGTCCTCGTCCCGAAGTTGGAGGAATTTTGGCTGCGTCCTTAAGAAGGGGACTTGCTTTTCCAAAAAGCGCCCGAGAGTCCGCTTCGGCGTGCGGTTCCTGCAGTGACGCCGTCAGCCCGTCCTTCAGCCGCCAAACTCTAGCCGCAACCTGGGGGCTCAAGTCAGGGAAGGGTTAAGCGCCCACCGCGCGGCCCGCGTCCGAGGGTGCAGCAGCAGGAGCGGGACGGAGTGCGGAGGCGGCCCCGGTCGAGGAGTGGAGAGCCGCGACGAGGGCGAGTCCAGCGGTCTCGGCCCAGCCCCGAAGGGGTTAAAACTACCGATGACGCCGCCTCCGAGGCGAGAGCCACAAAGGGTTAAGTCCCCTGCCGCAGCGCCCACAAGGGGTTAAAGTCCCAGAACTGCCTCCTCCCACTTCCACGGGTGTCGCTCCAACGCGCGCTCCCCGCTCCCTAGGCCCGGCCGGAGCCTCCGCCGAGGACAGACAAACTCATCTCCCCTTTGGCTCGATGCTCTGCTCAGCTCAGCTCCCCTCCGCCTCCTCCCCCTTCCGACAGCTCCTCTTCCGCCTCCTCCCCCTACCTTCCCTCCCAACCTGCCTCTCCACCTGCCAACTTCCAACTGCTGCCTCCCAGCCCTCGGCGCCCTTTTTATATAGAAGCCTGTTCGCCCCGCCCACGCGCATGCGTAGCTGAGTTCCCGACGCGGGAAGCCGGGAGTCGTAGTTCTCATCTTTTGGGCCCGCCGTCCTCGCGCGCCGTGCGACGTAGCCAATCCCCGGACGCGTCGGGGGCGTCTCCCAGGCCGCCTCCGGCCGCCGCTTCTCCCCCGCCGAAGAGGCGTGAGCGGCCATTGGCCGAGAGCCACACGACGCGCTGAGGAAGCAGGGCCAATCGCAAGGGAGACGGGGCGGGCTCTGGGCCATACCATTCTGTTTCAGGAAAACGAGAAGATTCGGTGGCCTATGGGCGCCCAAACAGAATCTTCTTTTGAAAAGGTGCGCTGGAAAGGTCATTGTCACATCCTGTCCCTAACAGAAGTGTTCTGAGGGGCACCAGCCTTTGTGAACTAAAGCAAAAATGGCTTATCCCTAAAAAGTAGTCCCCGGAATGTGAAAGAGGTTTACATGCTGTAAAGCGAGCGGCTGGCCTGGCCTCCGGCGGCCGAGGCC